AAGAAGCAGAAGACTCCGACCAAGCCACGTACAAGACAGATTCTCCGACCCCTGGACGACGACGAATTCGTCTGGCCATCACTGGACGAGATCCGAAGCGTCCAGCGACAGCACCAAGCACCTGTGGGGTCGACGCAAGATACAGACAAGGTTCTCAGAGTTGACCAGAGGATCTGGATTCCTAAAGCATGTACTGAGCTCACACAGCGACTCTGTATCATTGGTCACTGCGGACCCCAGGGTCACCGCGGGGAACAAGCAATGGCTAATCACCTACGACGGGTGTTCCACATACCAAATCTCAGAGGTGTCGTACACGCTTTCATAGCGACCTGTCTACTGTGTCCACACGTCAAAGGTAGCCAAATCGTTCACCGGCCATGGAGCGAGACGACTGAGTGTGATGAACGGAACGGAGTCCTCCATTGGGATTTCCTGTCCATGGGCGAATCGTTTGGTGCTAGTAAATATCTGCAACACTAAAAGACCATGCCACACATTTCTGTGAGCTGGTGGTCTGTGACTCAGCCGACAGTGCTGTAGCGACAGCCGCTCTGCTGGACTGGCACAGCCGTTTCGGTATACCTCCCAAATGGATCAGTGACAACGGTAGTCATTTTAAAAACGAAGTCGTGGCCGAGCTCTCCAAGAGACTCAAGAGCCAGCAGACTGTTACCCTGGCTTACAGTCCATGGATCAACGGATCAGTAGAGCGCGTCAATCGCGATATCCTACAGGTCTTCCGTGCAATGATCCTTGAGTACAAAATCTCTACAAAGGATTGGGTTTACCTTGTACCACTAGTGCAATCTAGTCTAAACCACACGGCATTGCCTTCACTAGGCAATCGAGCTCCCACTGAGCTATTTACTGGTCTACCGTGCCCATCGCCTCTGGCGGAATTCTACCACACTAGCCGCAAGGAGCTGGTTAAGGTACCTGCCACTTCAGCGGCCATTGGTAAATACCTAGCTACTCTACGTGACAGTTTGCGTACTATGCATGGACCCATTGTTGATGAGCGTTTGAAACAGCACCTTCTCAACCAAAAAAAAAGAACGAGGGGACAATGTTGTGAACTTCGACGTGGGAGACTATGTTTTACGCTCACGCGTAGACGAAAAAAAGGGAACAAGCTACTAGTAACGTGGCAAGGACCATACAAAGTGGTCCGCGCTGACGTTCACTCCTTCCGCATCCGTCACTTAGTGACAGGGAGTGAGTTAGATGTTCATGCGTCACGACTAAAATTCTACGCGGACCAAAGTCTAAACGTAACCGAGGAGATCCTTGAGCACGTAGCCTCCCAGGGCATCATCTTGGCCATCAACGAGGTGAAAAAATATCGCTGGAACGGGTCTATTAAGGACTATGAGGTTCTAGTTAGCTGGAAAGGCTTAGAGTCTGTTGAGGACTCCTGGGAACCGCTGGCATCTCTTGCCAAAGAAGTCTATGTTCTACTGAATCAGTACATTCAGAAGCAGAACGGTAAGGTGCGCAAGTATTGGGATGACCATCAGTCGAAATTTCAATAAACAATTTTGCATACTTTTGCCAAAACAAACAATTGTTTGCATACCCACCTATTTTACACACTAACATGTAGTGTTGTGGCAAATGAATCATTTGTGCAGTTTTCAATTGGGTATGAACCATATTGGTTTCAAAATGAATTATTGCAAATCCCCCTCAACCGGTTGCACTAGTTATAGTTATGGCCGGGACAACTTCAACCGACGGCCACTGAATTTACGTAACAGAAACGTAAAATATCAATAGTCGCAGGAATCACATCATAACAATCACACGATCTCGTCACAATGACATGATCGGTAACAATATTTCTAGCTGGACCAGGCTTGGAGGGGCAGTGTAGTGCATGCACCATTAGACCCAGCCAGCTCCAGCTATAAGTTGAAGCTGCAGACTACAGATCTCAGGAACAGATCGACAATGCTGTTTACACGTTCGTCATCCTGGATGACAGGATCCCCGTAACGCCACACGTGATGACAGGCCTCGTGTCCAACCACTGCGGCTGCAGTGCAGCTACTACAACCACTACCATGTAGACTAGTAGCTCTCACTTCGCTATTTACTATCGAATACACCAACGGCTAAAACTTCCTGGGAGCACTGCCGGCTCCCCCATCGTGTGTTTTCAGTTCCTGATTCACCACACAGTCGAGCCCTCGGAAACCAAGCGGACTACGATGAACTTCCTGAAATTTCTGCCTGTCATCACCACCGTAATTGCCGCGCTGTGTCTGACTCCTGCTCTTGTCGATGGCCTCGAAGCCGATAGATACAGCCCATACTATCGCGGCAACCAACCAACTCCACCCCCCACCCCTGCAGCAACACAGGTGGGGGGACAGTAATAGTCTGACATGGTCAAGTGAAGCTCTTCAAGGCGATGAATTGTTAGAGCATGTGGCGTGATTGTACTCGTTGCTTCCGAGAATGTAACCAAGATCGTTATCGTCGAGACAAATCTGTCTGTTCAACCGAGCTTCTACTGTACCGGATCTACTCGTAATCATGGGGATTCAATCTCGGCATTCTTTAGAATTAGCTCGTCTTGATCGTAGCATTAAATCAAGGGAAAAGTTCCAAAGGCGGGTGCAGTAAGGATTTCGTTCACTACTGCTCGTGTAAACTAGTCGCTTCAGTATTGTTACACCTGCAATATTCTTGTCACAAATTGTTATGTCATTATATAATTATGCATCCGTAAACTAAAGCAGGTTATTACGGCCTGTGATCGTATAATCCGCATTTCGTTCTCATTGCTCCTCAACAGCACTTGACGTCCCTTTTCATAACCAGCCACTTCACTGACATCACAGATCGAAAAGGGGGGTCCATGGACAAAAGAACATAGCATTGTAGGAAACTCGGACTGGAAACGAAATGCAACACGCTGCTCTCCAGCAGTTTTCAAAAGTCGATCCTCAAGTGCGAAGCAGTGTAGACTATGTAGTGAGATCTTGAAGATGTGAGCATCCAGCTGACAAATCATTCGCCGCACCATCTAAGCTGACTTGCCTATATAATAGTGTGTGAGTTGGGGGG